GGGTGATGGGGGTAAGGAGGGCGATAGGGGGTGAGGAGGGCGATGGGGGGTGAGGTGGGCGATGGGGGTGAGGAGGGCGATGGGGGTGAGGAGGGATGGGGGTGAGGAGGGCGATGGGGGTGAGGAGGGCGATGGGGGTGAGGAGGGCGATGGAGGGGAGCATGTGAGCTGTGCAGAAAGGAAGAACGGTGTCTTTGCCACAGGGCTTACACAAGAAACATAAAATGTACAGACACCCTAACCCTTCTTCAGAGGATGAGAAACAATACTGCTGAGGCTGGAAAGACCGAGGAGGGTTTCTTTCTCCCCTCCCTCCTCCCACTTTCTCTCTTTTAAACTCGTGAAGTGAAACTGCTTAGAATGTATCTTTTCCCATTTCAGTTTCTCATCATGAAGGTGAGAGGTTGGAATATCTTTTGGAGGCCCCCAAATTTCCTCAGCCTCATGAGAGAGGATAGAAGTTTTTATTTCCAATGCTTTTCCAACTGAAAAACTGTCTGCTCGTTATAGGCCTTCTGAGACCTTAGAACATATTAGGAATCACTCTGGCTCTAAAGACGCGTGCTTGCTTAAAAAGGCAGCCTCCGCTGCAAAGGTTCTCAAGATAGAAACCAATTCCAGGCAACAGAGGAGCTATAATGCCTAGAATATAGTCACACAAAATCCAAGTGACAGTTATCACCCAGCCATGCAACGTCCAGCAAGCATCCTGTGTGATAGCTGCCTGACAAAAGAATCCTGGCTACCACAGAACTAAGCTTGTTTTTGGATAAGATGCAGCAGAGAGCAGATAATCGAAAGCATTACCCAAAACCAAAACAAAGAAGCAAATCAAAGTATCTGAAAAGCCTAATGGAATAAAATTGGATGAGACATTTAAAAGATAAACTGGACTATATACAAAATTCTAAAATGAATAATTTATGGAAAAAACTTATTTTGAGTGTATTTCCCATTTGTTTGTGTGGCTACTTAGGAAATCCATGGGTCCAACAGATTGGACCTCAGTGACCTGCTGTAATTCAGCACTTGCTGGCAAGTCAGAGATCAGCTCACGGAGAAGTCTGACCCTGAGGCCCTGTGGATGCAAATTGGACTATGTGAACCAGAAGCCCTGGGAGGGATAACCAGGCGCGACGAGGCCGAGGTGGAGGTCGGTGGCTGAGGACCTTCCTGTGCGGCGCTGACGCACGGGGCACAGATTCACTCATCTCGTCATTTCGCAGCCTGTGAAGAAGACGTCAGTGCCAGTGTTTTACAAAGGAAGAAAATATTATTATTTCCTTTGAGCAGCTAATTCGCTTAATACACAAGCAGCAGCCTGTGCTGGGATCTGAATCTCTGTTTGTCTGACACTTAGGAGATTTCCCTAATTAAACCACATTAACTCTCAAACAGTAAGTAGTATGTAAATTTTAAAATCTCAAAGGCAAAGAAATCAAATTTTTAAAAATGACACAGACTGCATTAACTACAACTATAAATAACAAGATGCAGGTGAGACCACTGGGAAAACAGCTGAGAAGCTCAGACACCTCTGGTGGGGTCAGAGCACATGCGGCGCGCCGAAGCTCCAGTCCCACCCACACCTCTACTAAGATATGAGTCCTTAAACAAAGTCACTCCTTGGGGTTTAGTAACCCCACTCACAAATTATCCCAAGGAAACGAATTAAAATTAGGAAAATGTCCATTGCGGCACTATTCATAATAGTGCACAACAGAAACTATTTGTGTCCCACGGGGTTGGGGGCAGCTAAGAAAATGTTGGTATATTAACTCCACAGTGTACTAAGTAGCCATTAGAGTAACACGTAAGTCACAGCATGAAGAAAGTGGGATATAAAACTGTATGTTCTGACTATGAGTAGGTACAAAATACATATGTGAATAAATACTAGCCGGGGACAAAAACAAAGACCATTGTTGTGCTAGGGTGGAGCAGTTATGAATGCATTAACATATCTTAACCCCATCGCCACAATATATTTTAAAATTATACTCATTTGAAATATCCACTGAAGAAAAATACAGACCCACCAACACGACGTGTTTGGAGTCTGTGTGTCCACAGTTAAGTGGTTTCCAGCACACACAGTACTGCTCTGTTCATCATTAACTCTGACGGCGAGGAGGCGGGAGGAGATGAAGAAGACATACTTAGTTTGATGCTGAGGTAAAATATACATATTTTTACAGAATGATGAAAACCAGTTTCTTATAATGACAGTCCATGGACAAATCAGAGAAGGTTACAAGAAAGAGGACTTGTCCACACAATGGCTGACGCACGTGATGCTAAACAGGTCTGCGACAGCAGTGCTTCCCACTCAGTCCCACAGTCCCCCCTCTCATCCCCACCGTCCCATTTTCTAGGGGAGAGAACGCCACAGGAAAACGGCTGAGCTACAGAACTCTCCCGTTTCTTCATTTTCCTCTCTAAGGCATCGCCCACCTCCCCAGCGGGGCTCCTCCACTTCTGGGGAGCCACTCTGTCTCTGGCTGGGCAGGAGGAAGGTGCGTCTGACGAAAGCAAAGCTAATTCTCGGAGCTGGGCTCTGTCTTGTGCAGGAACAAGGCCAGGCTGGCAGGTGTCCAGCAACCGTCTCACAGTCTCCCCCTCAGCTCTCTCCAGTCCTGGTTTCAGACAGTAAATTCCTAGCATTTGCTGCCTCAAATATTTGCTACCCTCTAGATGTGAGGGGACGGTGGACCGCTACCTTACCTGTCTCCTGGGTCAACATTCTTAGCAAGGAGAGGAACTTTCTTTGTTTATAAATGTCACAAATCATTAGCAATTCGCAAGCCGCATGCCCTGGCCCTCCCCCTGCATCGCATTTATACAGCTATGTATGAAAAGAAATGCAAAAGGAAACGTAATTCGAGTACTATTCAGTCTCTTCTGGGAAAGTCAGCCTTTCATTTGCCCTCTTCTCCCACTCTTCCTTACACACACATACACACACACACAGACACACACAGAGGAGCGACACGTGGCTTCAGTAAACTCAGAAACAGAAGAAACGGTCTGCACCTCCAGCCATGACCGTCCACCTCCCGTGACCTGGGGGGCAGGCTCCTTATTCATCTGGGTGCTCCCGCCCTGCTGACGCTTAGAGGTAAGTCCCCTCGCGTGCATGCCGTTGGCGACTTCCTGACCCATCGAGGTTGGGGACTTTTCCCCGGGACTCAGCCTCATCTCACCTCCTGTGGACAGTGCAGCCTTTCCTG